TATATATATATATATATATATATATATATGTCCATCAAACCGTCCATCATTAAACAGGGGTGGAGACCTACGTGTTCAATTGTCCCCCTCTTACAATGCTGTGATTGCTAGTATCACTCAGCCCTCTGTGAATAGTAAACAGCCATCAGTGTGCTAATGATCCATTGTTAGGCTGATGGTCCTTCTTGAGCATGTGATCAACTGGTTTTGGTTGTCAGCAGCAAAACTGGTTGATCCACTCTGAGAAGGTGCTATTTAAGAGACTGAGCTGAATACAGCTCCTCAGACTGAGGAAGTCTCTCGGATGAGAGACGAAACGTTTCTACATTTTTTGTTGTTTTGCTTTGTTTTTTTGAATGTCCAGAGGACCGGTTTAACTTTTTTAGATTTTTCTACCTGGATTATTGAGCATGCATCAGGATAGAAATAGGAATGCTCTCCCATTCATGTCTAATACAGGCCTCTAACTGTTCAATCGTCTTGGGCCTTCTTTGTCGCACCTTCCTCTTTATGATGCGCCAAATGTTCTCTGTAGGTGAAAGATCTGGACTGCAGGCTGGCCATTTCAGTACCCAGATCCTTCTCCTATGTAGCCATGATGTTGTGATTGCTGCAGAATGTGGTCTGGCATTATCGTGTTGAAAAATGCAGGGTCTTCCCTGAAAGAGATGACGTCTAGATGGGAGCATATGTTGTTCTAGAACCTGAACATAGTTCTCTGCATTAATGGTGCCTTTCCTGACATGCAAGCTGCCCATGCCACAAGCGCTCATGCAACCCCATACCATCAGTGATGCAGGCTTCTGAATAGAGCGTTGATAACATCTTGGGCTATCCTTGTCCTCTCTGGTCCGGATGACATGGCGTCCCAGTGTTCCATAAAGAACTTCAAATTGTGACTCATCTGACCACAGAACAGTCTTCCATTTTGCCACACTCTATTTTAAATGATCCCTGGCCCAGTGCAAACATCTGAGCTTGTGGAGCTTGCTTAGAAATGGCTTCCTCTTTGCACTGT